ATTGCAAAATTTCGGCAACACCCGTGTGTCATTGCCGAAAGAATCTAAAAGCATTGGGGGGCAATCATATCCGGAGTGGGCTGAAATTGAGAAAAAGCTTAAAGCTAATTTTGCCGCTCGCCACCAGAAACAAATAGAAAAAGAATTGGCTCAGATAAAAGAAGCATTGCCAATTGGTACTATCAATGAAAAGAAGGATGATTCGGAACATGAAAGTGCTTCGGTTGAAAAAGCCGAATCAAGTAGTATATATTCTGAATCCATCAAATCCAACGAGGCAAGCATTATTAAGAAAGGGCATGGCAAGCATAGGAAAACAACGGTGCTTGATTTTTCCGAAGTTAATGGAACCTACTTCCTGCCCTATGAGTTCCGTGCCGTAGAAATTGACAAGCTTCAAGGACAAGAACAAGTAGCCGAACAAAGTTTGGCCGACAAAAATCTTCAAACCAATGATGCACAGATACAAGAAAAAGATGATGACAAGGTGTTGGGGAGCCATCCAAAGACGGAGCAAGATGTTCTTCAAATGGCACCACTATCATGCTCTCCCAACATATTGGAAGAGGTATGCATAGCGAGTAATTTACCTATTTTCAGATTTGGTCGCAACTTCATTATTGATGCATCTATAAGAAATATTATCATAAGTAATTTTGAAAGACCAATGAGGAAGGGTAATTTACTTGTTAGCAGTAAAATTGTTATGGAACAATATCGGTCAACCCATTGTGCCATTTATAAAGACCGATAATGACTTATTGTTACCGCCAAAGCTTTCCGTGTTTCTTTGTCTAAAGTTCATATCTAGTTGGGTAGCTTTGCTTATTTTGTACTTGGCTTGCACTTGGTCTCAACTGAGACATGTATGTTCTAAATATTTTCGTTTCAGAAATTTAAAGCCAAGGTTAAAATCTTTTGGGAAAACCGATGCTAGTATAGTTTCTTATTTAAGGACATCGGAAAATGAATGTGAAAGAGAATTCATAGCCGAATGGGAAGATGCCAAATCTGAACCATTCGTTTGCTTAACTCCAAAGCCGTTCTCACAAAAAGATCGGCTAGAAAACAAAAGGTATACCTTCAATTCAAGCATGTGTGATCAAATATTTGATTTGTTGCTAAAAAATAATTACATAAGAATTCTTGATCACCATGTGAAGCCATCAATCCAAGGACGAATGTATTGTAAGTTGCATGATTCGTTCAAGCATAGTTTTGAGGATTGCAATATGTTTCGTCAAATAGTTAAATCGGCCATTGATAAAGGACGATTGAAATTTGTTGAGACACCAAAAGATGACCAGTCTATTCCGATTGGTCCCGATGGCAGAAAGTTTTTGCATCGGCTGCTTCAAGCCGATCCATTGAAAGAGAAGGTAAAAACTTCAGGTGATGGGATTAAGCTTTCAAATAATGAAGTTGTTGAAGAGCATAATGAACATAATCTTGAGGGCGAGAATTCCATCGAAGCTATAATGGAGATGCCAAGGACTTGGGGGCAGCAAGCAAATCTAATGATCGATGAAAGCAAACCAAAAGAAAACAAAGGCCAGAATAAGCGCAAGTGTAAGAGATCAAAAATCACCTTTGCTGAACTATTGTATAAATATCAAAAGAAGAGTGAAGAGAAGAATGCTTATCGGCCAAATCATGCAAAGAAACCAAGATCACCGCCAAGGCGCAAATATGAGGATTGGTATTGGCAAAGTGATAATTTTAATGCAACATATTCATATCCTTATTTTGGGCCGCCAATGCCAATGCCCTGGATGCCTCCCTATGCTCACATAGATACATATTCATCATGGAACATGTATGATACAAGGGCACATTCTCCATCTTACTCTAGACCATCTTACCAATACTATGCAGCTCCAAGGAGATCAACATTTGAACAATCATGCGTCAAAGACCATTTCAATCATAAGGAATCGGTCCAGACCTCAAGAAACAAGAAAGAGGTGGTAAAGCAAGTTTACCGCGTGAAAAGAGATGGTCGTAAGTGTGCTGCTTCAGATTTGATCTCAAATGAAAAAGAGCCAATGAAAGTGTTGACATTGGCTACTACAGACAATGAGATGAAGCAATCAATTGTTAAGACTCAGAGTGCCAAATCTAAAGAAAAGAAGTTGAGAGTGCACAAAGCCAAAAAAGAATTGCCATTGGTCAAAACAGAATAACAGCCGAGATGCCCACTCGGCTTATCATATTGGCAAAATAAGAAATTACAAAATCTTAGTGCACAAGAGCTGAAAAAGAAGAACATGGCATGGGTTCCCAAGAAGATCAATCAAGAAAAAAATGATATGCATGCTTCTGTTGCAACAAGTACAATAAAAGTGAAGAAGGAAAATAATGAAAGCCACAAACAATTAAGCCGAAGGTGCGCATCACAACATCAAAATCTTCGGTTAGCACATCATCAATTTTCTTCAACAATGCCATTGATGCGTTTGCCATGGAATTCATCCACACGTATGATCAGTTACCCTCCATGGACTTATTTTGATCCATAGATGCAACATAATTTTCCATATCATGACAGAGTATTACCAAATCACTATACATTTGGTTAGTTATATTTTTGTTGCTAAGACAAAGGGGCCGAAATATTTTATTGTTATTTTATTTGTTTATTTCGGCTATACATTCTTTAATGGATGAATTCTACATGGACCTCATGATAATGGCCGATAATTAACTATCGTCCTAAGAAACTATCCGATCATGGCCGGTGTGAAATTCTAACATCGTCCTTAGTTCAATTGGAACCGAGACAAGGTACATGTTAAGTGATATTAACCTTGTCTCTCTAGTGCTATGGAGATTATGTCTCGATCGTTGAATTCATAACAATGGCCATGGTGTTGGTGTTGTTTATATATCTCCATATGGTGCTGTTATGTGAAACCTCATGTCTCTTAAAATATTTATTGCACAATAATCAAAGCCGAATATGCAATGTTATTCGGTTTGGAACTTTTGCCATATGTGCTAAACATATTGAGGCTTTTGGTGATTCGTTATGAGTAGTGCAACAAATATCCAAGGGTTATGAATGTTTTGACGAATCACTTGTAGTTTATCTTGAGGTATGGCTAGATGCAAAATTTACCTTGGTTGCTTTAAAACTGTTCATATTTCTAGGCATGACAATTCAAAAGAGTTGGCACAGCAAGCACCAGGCTACTATGTTAATCATGGTGTATTGTATTTCATTCAATAGCCGATGCTTAGTCTCGTCAACATAGGTAAGGCTGAATCGAAGTCCATTGCTTCGGCCACTAATGATTTTTTTTATGCAGGCAAAAAGTAAGGATTGGAGAAAGTTTATTATTGATTATCAGCAAAATCCTAGCAAAAGGGTGAATAATATGGTTCCGAAGATGACCTTGAGATACATATCTATGGGACTTTATCATCGGATTGTTAAGGGAGTTGAGAAAGTTTCACCCAAGCTTGCGTCAAAATATTCACACAAGCAATGACTGATATAAACTTATCGTCCTAAGAATATGCCAAAATGGACGATGGAGTATTGACATCGTCCTTAGAGCAAGCTATGTGCAAGTTATTTTTCGGCACATAGGCTTTGCCGAAAAACAGGGGGGCATGTGTTGACACCAGATTTTGGCACAGTCAAGAACTTATTTAAAATAGCCTTAAATGGAGAAGTGTTCTACATGAAAAAGTTTCGTATTGTCGATACGAACATCTTTGAAGTTTGGGCCATCGCCATCCGATCTCATCTCGAAGGCCGAAGTTGTGTTTGAAATACTGAGATTTTGTATTCAAAACACTATTTGGCTCATTACGCCCTCAAGACAGCCTCGTAAGGAAAAATGATCTACACGGATTGTCTTCGTCTCGTCGAAACGATCGATTTTGATATAAAAATCGTTCAAATCCGAGTTCGTATGCAAAAGTTAGAGCCATCGGAATGTAGCCCTGCCAGGAGGCAAAGTGTGGCGCGCCCCACCAGACGCCATGTCTGATGGGTAGCGCGAGGGACGGATGTTTTGCGTCACAATCCGTTTTGCGCGAGCTATTTAACCCTCAAGATGACCTCTGATGAAAAATCGTTCAACATGAAAGTTTTTCGTCTCGTCGAAACGGTCAAGATTGCTTTTGGACTCGTTTCCATCCGAGGTCGTTTACTGCCTCAAACATGACCCGCAAGGTGTAGCCAGGTTGTAAACCGAACCGTTTTGGAAAGTTCGGATAAAACTAGTCCGAATTTGACTAGGGTTTTGAACGTGAATTGATGCAATTTTATTGTAAGGAAAGTCTAGATGAATCCTTTTCTTGTACGGGAAGTTCAGCCGCCTCTTATATATGTTGGGGGTGACGGCCGATTGAACAACACACAATCGATCAATCAATCTACCACTTTTTATCTTTTATCTTTTCTCCTTAACCCTAGTTCTTCTTCTTCCTCGTTCTTCGTTCGTTCTTCTTCATTGCAGGGCGGCGAACCTCGAGGCCCTAGGGGCGATCAGGTCGACCTAGGGCAGTCCATAGCCACCGCGCGCCCAGACGGGGTCCCTCCCGGGCGTGTGGGGTTTCGGGTCCCAAAAGCGCCGGCTTGCTGTCTTGCGTATCGCGCTAGAAGTCGGCCTCCCGCGGTGTGAGTTGCGGAGCATCTCCCTCGGCGCCACAGGTACACATCGACGTGTTCGTGTGACGCGTTCCAGCGTCAATAGCTGCTTGGCCGTGGCCCATTCTGGGCCCGTGTACCTTGGGTTGGGCTTCTTGGCGCGGTTGGGCCGCGCCTCTTCCTGGCGTTACTTGCTGGCTCGCGGGTCCGCACCGTCAGGGTCGCTAACATGGTTGGTCCCATATCACACACAAAACAAGTGCAACTTTGCAAAATGGGATGAACCGTGACGACAAATGTAGCTGGCTACCGCCATGATCAACAACAGTTTTAGCATCCAGTAGCACTTTAGTTCAGTAGAGGTACAGATTTATTATCCAAAGAAAAGGCAGCAAAAGGCCTAGTAGCCGATCTTGGTGAAATTGAAGTGGCCGCACTGGGTGAAGAAGGGCAGCCTGACGAACCCGAGCCGCTTCCTCGCCATGTCGAACTCCAGCACGGTGTTCTCCATCTGGAACCCTCCGACGAGCACCGCCGGCGCGCTGCGGTCCCCGGCCTTCACCCCCTCCATCCGCGCGAACGCCAGGCACGCCGTCCCCGGCCTCAGGTCCACCATCGAGCTCAGCCCGTTCATCGTCCAGTTCGTGCCGCCGCCCAGCGTCAGCGTCACGCCCGGCACCAGGTACCCGATCCGCGTGTTGGCCAGCGACTGCGTGTCGTAGCACAGCTCGAAGGGGGGCACGGGCTTCACCGGGCGCGCCACGGGCCCGCCCTGCGCGCCCTGCGCCGCCAGGGCCCTGGCGAACGCGTCCACGAACGGGCGGTACACGTCCGGGCGGAGCAGGGTGAAGGGCACCTTCGTGCAGACCACCGCGGCGCCGGCGCCGGGCACGCGGGCGTTCTCCACGGCGATGGACTCGAGCGAGACGTAGTGTGCGGGCGGCATGCCCTTCTTGGCGGCGACGAGCGGCGTGTAGACGAGCTCCTGCGTGAAGTTCCTCCCCGGCTGCGCGGAGACCTCGAACGGGCCGCCGCCGAAGATGGCCACGCCGGTGCTGCCGGAGGACCCGCCGCGGGGGAGGCAGAGGAGGAACTTGTTGGGGACGTTCTGCGCGGAAGCCACTTGCGCCGGCAGCGCGAGGCCGGAGCCCGCGAGCCCGGCCACGCCGGAGGCGCCACGCGGCAGCGACTTGAGGAGCCTGCTCGGCGCGCACGCCGCCAGGGCCCGCACGCTCACCTGGCTCACCGGGTGGACGCCGTCGGTGGTGTTGGCGACGAACCTCGTGTGCACCAGGTCCCCGGCCGCGCACGCGCCGGTGACGGGGTTGTACGGGTACGCCGTGCACGTCCTGTCCTTGCGCCTGTCGCGGCCGCAGCCGCGCGCGCGGCAGCCCGGGACGTGGAAGGCGTTGGCGAGCCGGCAGGTGGGGCTGTTGCACGGGAACTCGGCCGGCAGGTGGCCGCGCTGGCACGTGGACCAGACGAGCGGGCCGGCGGTGTCGACGACGAGGTCGGCGCCGTAGTGGAAGGGGATGGTGTAGAGGAGGGTGGCGGGGTCCTTGGTGACCGGAACGAGCACCGGGAGAGGCTTGCTCGACGCCGGCCACGCCAGCGAGACGGCCAGGAAGACGAGGGGGAGGAGCCGCGCCATCTTTCTTTCTGGGTTCGCAGGGGATGTTTGCTGTTGAACTGTAACTTGCGACTTGCTGAGTGGAGTGTGGCGTTGTTTATATACTATTGGAGGTGAGATCTCTCTCGACACCGGAATTAATGGCGGGTTTCCGTCGACGGTGAGGACTAGTTAAATGGTTTTGGCCTGCGGCAGTGTCGGATCGTGCTGCGGCGTACTGGGGAAGGTATGCATGGGCGTGATCGATCTGATGGGAGAACCCCATGTTCTATCTATCTGTCCATCCCTGTGGCCTGTGGGGAAGTTGCTTCCATGAGATGCATTGACCTTCTCACAGATCGCGCCGACGAAGAGTTTTCCTGTGCACGCCATCGTCAATCAAGCAGCGTCTACAGAATCGGGACTAGGAGCATTACTAGTAGAACCCTCAAACCCTCAAATCCTTATAGCAGTTTTAAGGGTTGAGAAGTGCCAGATTTTGACACTTTTAAGGGTTGAAAAACAGGGGCAAAGAATAGAACCCTCAAACCCAACCCGTAAACTGCTTTAAGGGTTGGATTTGAGGGTTCTAGTCTTTGCCTCAACCCCAACCTTTAAAACTATCATTTGACATCTCACAATTTATGACAACAAGAACACAATCAACTTCCAAACAAACTACCGAATGACAATCATTGATGCATGGTTTAATAGTTTACATCACAAAATCATCATCTTTCTCCTCTCATCGGCAACATCATCAAAAGTTGCACCTCGGCGCCATCTCCTAGACCACAAGCGGGCTCCATCAAGCATCTCCATCGGCACCGGTGGAGTCGTACACACCGCCATCACCACAACTACTCATCGGAGTGTCACCTCGGAAAGTAGAGGACGCAACACGGAAGGAGGTTTTGGAGGAGGTCCATGAACGAGGATGGGGTTGCCATTTCCTTGAACACCTCGTGCGCGGCGGGAGGAGGTTCGGCGACGGTGGCGGGCGGGGCCGCGGCCGCGGCGGCGGGCTTCTTCCGCGGCTTCTTCACGGCCGGGGATGAGCCGGCGACCTTGGAGGAAGCCCCTCGAGGCCCACGGCCGGCCGCCTTCGACCGGCTC